ATATTATTATATAACAAGCTCAAGTTAGTCATGTCCAGTTATTTACATGTGAAGGCCCATCATCCATTAGCTACTCCTACAAAACATTAGTGTAAGCAAAGTAAATGCCGTGCTACCCTTATCTGATTTATTCATGTATTTGTACACTTTTACTATAATTGATGTCTTCAGCTGCTGATCATTTGGTGAGTTATTTAGTGACTAAGGTCAAAGTTATCCTTTTTATTCATAGGTTAGAGTCAGAAAACCTCAGACATTAGACATCATAGTTGTTATATTGAGAACAATTATTTAATAATATAAGTATTATTATTATAATTATGCTACAAGTAGGTGGGATGCTAAAACTCATCCCTACTTCATATGACCAAAGAAAAACCAATACATGAAATCCTGCAGCCTGTAATATGGAAATGGTCACTCTATGGACAGTTACCAAAATCATGGACTAAAAGAGTGAAGTCTGCTACTGACCAATGCAGGTCCTAGCTGGCACAGAGGACTGGCTGATCCAGAAAGAGACCCAGGACAGAACCACCAACAGAATGGAGGGAACATACGTCTCCAAGATGAAGAAGAGCACATTTCTGCGCAGTGCAAAATGCAGCACCAGCTTGGGGTAATTTCCTGCAAAAGACACAAAGAGACATAAAAAGAACGAGGGAAAAAATGCAGATTTAAACAATCCTGTGGTGCATTTGTGCTCCACTAGCAGCTGCCATTGGATGAATCCTAACATGCAAAGGAAATCCAGAGAGCTCAAATATGTTACCTGTTTCGTACACAGCCTCTGACACTGATGTGTAGTAGCTCTCCACACTATACTGTGCCAGCCGCAGTGTGTCCAAACCCTTCACTGAATCATTTCCTCTGGTCCAGTAGAACACCACATCCTGTAGGTTATACCCCCCTGAAAAGACAAAGACTAGTTAACCTCTGGCTAGTGAAGTGCTCGGTGTAAAGCTGTCTTTCAGTTTCATACTCACTACACAGAGGCTGATGAAAATGGTAGTAGTGATGATGATGATGATGATTTATGTCCAGCTACACACATGACTGATGGTTAATGGAGCTCACAGTTAAATACTCACAGCTCTCCAGCTGAAGGGTGCACACCTGTCTATCCATGGGGTACTTAGTCAGATCCATGTTGCAGGCGATCGTAGCTGTGATGCTGTTGGGCATTCAAAGCAGGCATTCATTACCAAGCTTCAAAAACCCAACTGAAATGACTGCAGCTCTGCTGATTTATAACAGGGGATGTTAATTATTAGTGAACATAAAGAACTCTTCTCCCCTGATGAACATCCAAGAGATCAAAGACTTATATCTGGAGTATCATCATTGTGTCTCACATATGAATTATGTGCACAGTGTTGTCGGATTGCAAAAATGAGGCCAGGTTGCTCGAGTTCTACAACATTCAATCACCTCCACACAATCAGATGATGGCTACAGCTATCAATCAGTTTCGGTACTCAAGAAGAAGGAAGATGATTCTGAACATACTGTACACAGCTGACCTTTCTTTCATCTGTCAAACTGTCTAGTCAACATAAAGTTATATGGCAATGTGAGTTGACAGATTAGCCTGGACTGATTTTTAATACTCATAAGGGACTCTGCAAATCTTCACTGCCAAAGGCTTAAGTGTTTGAAGGGCAGAACATACAGGAATGCAGAGCCATACCCCTAAGATGAATGAATGAGGGATGACATTTGCTTTTTAGTCATACTCCTAGTTATTTTTTTCCCCTTTCTTTTTATATAGAACGTGAGAGCAGTGTGGGGTTGACTGGATTTGTTTTCTTCCTGTCTGTGACCAGCAGCGTGAAATGTCAGCTGTCAGCAAGCGTCAAAGCTTCGGTAAAGAAATGTACCGAAGAGCATAGAGAACAGTTCCGTTGCTGAAGATGCGTATGAGGCGATTTTCCACGGTGACATCGTGCAGGAAGGAGCGCTTGGAGTCTGGGATGAAAGTGTCAGGGATCCAGAGCAGTGACACCAGGCGACCGTCCACGCTCACGCTCTCATTACCGGGGAACATCAGCCTAGCATCACGCCAGCGCTGACGGAGGAAGATTGTCGCTGTGTAGTCCTGAAAAGATACAAAAAACACATAAAGACGCCTGCTCCCTCGTTTGATCACGCAGATGACAAAAATAGAAGGTGTACCATATTGATTTCAGAGATGGCATCAATGCTGGCGATATCAAGGCTCATTCCGATTTCCACTGGGCCCTCTGTTCAGGAGACACACATGGGAAACAGTACAACTGATCCACTCTTAAGTGAAAGACACAGAAGCTCTGATGACTTTTAGAAAGGTAAAAAACAAAAAACAAAAAGAAAAGCTTAAAAAAAAAATGTCTCGAGCAACTTCATACCATTGAAATTAGGTCTGAGGTAGCGGTTATAGCCTTTCATGAGCTTTTGTATTGTTGGCAGAAGCTGTGAGTCGTTCCATTCACCCCAGTGGTTGCTATGGAATGCACAGATCCTGATAAAAGCAGGAAAAAAGGAAAAAAGGAAATGAGACAAACAATGAGACAAACAAGTGCGCGTGCTTTTTTGACCTCAGAGTCACTCACCCCTGCGTAAAGGTCAGGAGGATGATGAGTAACAGGTTGGCAGACATCCTGGATCAGCTGGCAGAGGTCAGAGAGATGTGACAAGGACTAAAACACAAACACAAGAGCTGTTTTCATTTAATTGGGATGACACAGTTTGACCATAAGGTGGCAGCAACTAACTAAATTGTGACTACACATCTCAGGGGAAGTCTGCAACGCAGCAGTCATTCTCACTCGTTTCTTGTTAGATAACTACGCGTTCACCCTGACACGATAGTTTTAAAATGTTTTGTAAACTTGCATTGATCCCCACCTCTATTACTCGCTCCAATATTATATATTAGTAGCTTTTCCAATGCCTTCACACACTCGTGCAGACACACACAAACACACACACATAGACAAACAACATTTTGTTTAGATAGGCATATATGTACGTCTATCATTTATTTTATTTATTAATAATTTTTTAAATATTGCAGTTACTCATCCATCTGCTGATATATGTGGCCTCGATCACATTTTTTGTTTTTCAGAAATCTTCAACTAACCCTCTCATCAAGGAAGAAATCCTTACAGGAAACCCTTCCCCTCCTCCTCCTTTCCCGGATTGATTTCACTGTCAGTAACAGACTTCTGTCCTTTCACTTTATACTTTCATCCAAACCATGCAAATCTGTCCTGCATGTTATTGTGCTTCAGTTATCATCAAAGCAATCTGCAGCTAATATATCGCCATATTGCCAGCAGTCTAGAAAAGCAGCATTTAATTTTCAATGCATTATTTACACTGAAGTGCCATTCTAAATGACTGTGCGAACGAACACTATTGATTCCCCTTCTCCAGGGGCCAAAATGGCACAGAATGTTATCAGGTTGTAGTTGTCAGGTGAACACATTCTCCTGTTTGGATGCATTTTTTAGCTTAGGCTGAAGCCTGCTGTGTTAGTTTTGCATGGCATCATGCATGTTTCCCTTTGTCCTCACATCTGTCTTCCCGTTTATCCTCTTTTCCCATGTACTGAACTGCACAACAGCATATTGTCAGATACTACCTTGCCTATATGTGCATCTACATTCAAATAAACATTTCTGTTTACTTTTTTTTTCTTTTACACTGCTTACATACAAATTTCTAACTCTTACCTGCCTGAGCCGTGCTCTTATGTCCTCCTTTTTATTTCCACTTGGTCACTCTTCTGCTCTCTCTCAGCTCTGTCCTTTGTTTCCTCCTCTGCTCTTCTGCCTTCCTGTATCCCAAGTGTTGCCAGTGGCTGAGATTGGTCCACTTTCTTGTTTACTTCTGATTATATATCCCCGTGTGTCTTCAGGCTACCGTTAAAGCATCTAATATTTGGTCCTTTGTGTCTTACTGCTGGTTGTTCCACTATCTGTGCAACTCCCTCTGTCTCTCTGCACAGCTGTGTTGATCTCCCCGCAGAGCCTCTGTGCAGCCCCCCCTCCCTCTCTCTTCGTACTACTCATTTGCGCTGCACTTTTTTTCTCTGCCCCCCCCCTTCACATACTCACACACACAGAATAGCATCTAGTTTGAGCCCTTACATCACTCCCTTTTTCTCATTCTTCCTATTCTTTTTGGCTTCTTACTCTCTATCTACCTCCTCCCCCTCAATTTACACTGACACTGTACCTCCTTCTGGGCTTCACAGCTTGACTGTGTTTCATCCCCTCATGCCCTCTCCATCTTCACCTCCAACTACTTCGTTCCTTTGCATCAGTGTCATCATCCGAATTAGCTTCCTCTCGGCTCTGTCTGCAACTTAACTTCAATGAAATACCCATGCGGCTCAGACAAAAGTAACAATTTTGACTACTTTCACGTTCATAAAGCTTGCCCTTTGCCACTGTTGTAGGAAGTGCACATGTAGTCCTGATGATGAAAAAGCTGCTTGATGCTGCTATAAGGAGCAGATCCTGGTGATGATTTGTCAACATCCAGAGATGTAAACTGCAGCCCAAATACCAATACTGCTTGTGTGCTGTGTGGTCAGTCATTCATCTCCAGCGCTGCCGACTTTATGTGATTCATCTTTATGGCTCTGGAACCGAGCCCCAACTATAATTATATAGCCTGACCTCTGAGAACTCACGGCTGGATCTCCAGCATATGTGCAAGAACCTTTGGAGTATACTTGTTTACAACACTTTATGAGGTTTCAGAGATGCTTGTACCTACTGCAGCCAATTATTTTGCTAGTCTGTGTTTCCCAGCACTGACTAATGATTGTAAATGGTCACTAACAAGCTGCTGCAGTACTTTTTGCTTTACTCAGTTATTTAGTGAATCAGTAACACACTGTGGGTGTAAGGCTCCCTTTTTCTCAATTTCATGCTCCAATGGCTGCGTGTCTGAAATAAACAATCTGTTTATTAAACAGTGATGGTGAAGGGGAGCTGTGGAATGAACATAAGAAAATCGTGTAGAATTTGCTTCCACGTGGAGAATTGTGTGAAACGCAGTGCGCACATTCCTTGACAGTGAAAGAGACAAATGGAGACGTTTGTGAAGCACCTGAAGGGGGAGGATGTAAATGTTTTATCTGTGTGCTAGAGGGCTATTGAATAATTATAGCCAGACCAGTGATGTCACAGTGGGAGACAGCTTTGCATTAGTCAGCATCCAGCTGACATTCTTGTCCTACCTGCGTACATGTTCATTTCTACCTGTGATTGAGTGCTTCTTTTACTTCCCCTACCACTGATAAACATGCAAAATCATTGTTCCCCCTGCCTGTTAATGACCTGATTACCTCTGATCACTTATGTCTGGCTTCATGTCAGGGTAACAGAAGTGGCTAACAGTGCTAATGAGGGCCAGTGGTAACCAGTGAATACCAAAGGCCATATGAATGACTTTCTGGACCTCGAATATATGTAAATCATTACACATCTGAAGTGGGTGATGAACACAAAACGAAATTAATACATATTACTGTTAGTAATTTATTCATAACAAATAAGGGGAAAAGAAAACATGCCAATATGTTGGAAGTGTACCACAGAGTGAAGAGTACAGGAGTGTGCTCCTCTTTAGTTGGTGCAGCATGATTGAATAAACTGCTGGTCTGCAAATATCAGGTAGGAACTAATAATCCTGGGGGGGATGAGGGAGGGGCTTTAAACACTATTGCTTTATTAATAACTGTCACAACCCAGGACCAGTTATTGAAATGCCCATATGTCTTGCATGCCAGTTTATGTGTCTGTATATTTAGTGCTTCTGTAAGGCAAGAGTCTTCCACGTTAAATCCACGTATCTGTGACTGGTGACCCTTTAGGCCACCCCTTTGGTTCATTTTTCATTTTAAATGCAGTAACCTAGCTGACAGCTCTATGATGCCACAGCAGCCTTCTGCTACTCATGTGTCCCTCACTTCTTTTGTCTCTTCTTGCTCTGCTTATGTTTATTTAAGTTAACCCTTGACAACCTTGAGCGTCTTCTTTCATTTTCTTTCCATCTGTCTGCACGCTGTTCCCTATCATCTCCTATCATACAGCCAGCCAAAACACTCGAGTCTGCGCTTTGGTTTCGTTCCCACCCCAGTTGCGTAACCTACATAACCATCTTTTTTTCTTTCTTCTAAATCTCTTTGCCTCGCTGTCTTTACTCATGCTCTCTCTCTATTTTTCACTGCCTATCAGAACGGATAAGCATTTCGACATGTTTCAGGTAATGTTCAGCTCCTCAGAATCTGCACTGAGGCACCAGAAAATGGAAACGTCACTGCCCCCACATTTGCCCAGTGATTTGCTGTCATGCGGCAAATGGAAATGTCACAGGACTGCCCATGAGAGGGACACAGATAAATCTCTCCTAAATGACTGTGACGGCAGCCATGTCCAGGAGGAACACATATGAATTAATGTGGCGTAGACGCCGCTGCTCTAAGCATGCTGTCATGTCTCCCTGTGACTGTTGTGTCTCCTTGAGAGGTGGATAAGTGTTTCTGTTGTTTCTCACTTCAGATATGAACATTAAATTGTCATTCAACTTTTTGTTTTTGCTCTTGTAGGGCTACTTGCCAAGGTGCTTGACTTGTTCCCTGGGTTTCACCTGAGGCGTAGTTTATTGACATTCTTTTGTGACAATTTTTAAATTTTTTCTCTTTACATCGTCCTTCTGTCATCGCACTTGTTGATCTCCAGGTTTCTCCTGGCTCAAGTCCTGTCTCCAATCTTTGTCAGAACATTCGTTTTTATTCACTCCGGTCAAACTCATATACGTATACACAGACTTTCAGATTCATTATTCATCTTCGCTCCCTGTTCTCCCACATCTTCCTGCCTTTCATGTCTTTGTTGTTAAAGTTAGGATGAAATCTTTTCATCCCTTTTTTGCAAGCTATCACTTTTGTGATGTAAACTGCCTGGTCTCTGAAGAGCAGAATATTCACAAAAGTATCATTAAAATGCTCTTAAAACAATGCTCACAGAGCATGGCACACCCTTCTGTTTGGGACTGGGAAAGCAGCACAAAGCAACTTTAAGGACTGCTAACCACGACTGGATTTGATCACCAGTAAAGAATGATTAAGAATTTGACTCTCTGAGGATTAGAAACATCCTGGAAAAAAAAATGGCTCGTCGGGAAACTCTCACACTGCTTAGACAGCCCGAGAGAACCACACTCTATACTCACAGTTTTGAATAAGAACTGACAATAACATTAAATCAGTATCATACTAAAACAAGCTGTGTGGTTTTCTGGTCTTTTAAAGCCTTTACACAGATTTTCATGATTAATTTATTAAATAGAAGAATCCCTACTGAGATTTTTTATTTATTTATACATGTTATTTTGCCAGCGATAAGCAAAATATGCAAGCGAACCAGGAGTCATCTAAAATTCAGATGACCCACAATAGTTTATGTTTTGGTGTTCTGAACACAAAAGTCTTGTTTTTGCTTTAAAAAGATTCAAAATTGAAAAGATGAAAAATTAATATATGAAAATTCACCTACATGTTTTCTGCGCTCATAATTTCATCATTTTTGAAAAGATGCCCAACACCAAACCACAGGCAGTATTTTACACTGTTCCTCTCTCCTGACATCCTCAATAGATACTGAGGAACACTGGAACCAAAATTTCAAATTTGGGTTCATCACTCACCTGTTGCCACTGAATTTACGTGCGGTTCTTGTGTAATTTGGCATACATCAGCCTTGCAAGAATGGCTGCTTGATCATCACCCTTCCACTGGGACCATTTTAGCCCTGCCACGTCATCTTTTGTTCCTCCTCTTGTCCAGTTTCCTCAAATGTTTTAAGGACACACTGCACATCACAGTGAGATCTGCGTGTTTTCAATCATCAGTTTGCCAAAAAGTGCTATTTTTTGCCTGTCAAACTATGTTCTCTCTGGCATTTTTGTAGACATTTTCTTTTAGTGATACGAAATCAAAATTTGTTCTTTGGTAGGTTGTCTGCTATGACTGTGGTGTTTCTTTTTTGTGATACAGTGATATGTACAGCAGTGTTTTAAAACACCATCAAAAAGCCTGAAGAATATTCACGACACCTTTAAAAGAATATAAGAAAGCCTCTTCTCTCAAAAACAAGCCAACAGATAACCAACAGGGCAGCATGCCTTAGATTTGCAAAATTGCACCTGAACAAATCACAATACTTCTAGGAAAATGTCCTTAAGCAGATGAGACCTACGTAGCTATGTTTGACTGTAATCCACAACACCAAGTTTAGTGAAAACCAAACACAACATACCAGCACAAACACCTCATACCAACTGTCAGCACAGTGAAGGGGTGATGATGTGGTTGTTTTGCTGCCGCAGGATGTGGGCACCTTGCAGTAATTGAGTTGACCATGCACTCCTCCTTTATACCAAAGTATTCCGAAGTAAAATGTGAGACCATCTGTCTGACAGCAAAATCTTGGATGAATCTGGGTCATGCCACAGAACAAGCACAGCAGCAAATTTACAACAGAATGGATGGAAAAGAAAACAAGTAAGGTATTGCAAAAAATCATCAATACATAATTTTTTCTGGCATCCTAATATGTCAAACCTTAGCTCTGAAAGACACAGTACTTTTGGTTTTACTGTGAATGCATGTTTTTCTCTTTATATCTTGAACCACATTGTCTGTACTGTACAGTTGCAATGAGAGCTGCACTTCATACATAGTGGATCTATTAGGGGAGCAGTTGTGTCACTGCTTTCCTTGGGATTTGGAATTCAGCCCAGAAAGGGGGGGGGTAAAAAAGAATAATCCAGTGTGAAATAAGCTGCTTACTCCCTCGATGTTAACATCTTATTTTCTGTCTTTAGTTGACTTCCACTTGAAATGACTGCAGGGTGTTTTTTAAGGATCTGTATTGGAAGGCATCGGGACTGTGCACAACAATCCCAAATCATGTTT